TTATCCAATAATAGGCCAATTAAGTCTAATTGACGAAGTGACGATAACAGTTGTCTGAATATAACTCTTTAACTGATAAGCACAAGGCAAATGGTATAACGCATTAATCGTTTTGACAATAATGCTTTCATTTATACTTCAAAAAATGAAAATGATAATTATATGCTTTAGCGTCCGAACAATCAATATTGTTATGACATAGTATCATATTAATTGAAAGCATGCCATCAGGAAAAAAGCTATCTATAGTCTGATTATCATTCACAAGAAGTGATAAGCAGAAAAAAGAATATCAGTGAAAGAAATGTAGTTAGACCTAAAGAAGACTGATAAAATTATAAAAAAAGAACGGGAAAAATTAACATTTCCTGAAAAGATTTTAAAACCAAACAAATTCAATGACTAATGGGACTTCTCCTACTGATGGTATTTCCTAATATCACCACATATCACTTACGTTCGCAATATTTCATGCGACATGCTAATCATGAAACTTTGCTTAATCTTATATCACAACTGATTTATTTAAACGGTCTCAAATTAATGAAATACAAAACATACGATGACTTGACTGATTCAATCTTGCTAGTATTCATACATGTCAGATAAGCAATACGTGTCATTTCAATCGATCTCGATTCAGGTGGTACATCTGATTCCAGCAATACTACAATGAAAAAAAGCATAGATTACATAAAATTAGCAAGAAAGGTCAATCTTACAGTTAAGACTGGTTGTTAACAATGAAAATGTTATACTTTAGCGGTAGTTATTTTATTGAAAAATTGATTTGTTTAGATATATATGAGCAATAACCTTTGATCTTTTTCAATGACATATTCTATTGATTGTGTTCAAAATAAGATTCCAAAACAAATATACAGAAACTTTTTTTTCACATAATAATTGCACAATCAGTATTACCTCTCATTTGTTGCCGGACATTTTCTCGGACAGACGCAAACGTACCATAAGCAAACATATCATCAGGTATCATATGATCACGATTCCATTGGCCACAAGCATATTCGAAAAAGTCGTCACATGGATTAGCCGATAAATTCATCGCCATCAGCTCAAATATATATATATATTTTTTAGGACCATTATTACTCATATTCAGTTATAGTCTCAGTGACAGGAGATTATTTAATTAATGATTGATAGAAAGACAAAAGAAATTATAATTATCCACGGACAAGCTTGTTTAAAACAGAGAAGTCTGGAAGGTAACACCACTCAATCTTTCAGTAACCGGATACAATGGATAACCGGAAGCAACGAAGAAATGGAGATTAAATTCGATTAATAATAGATATGCTCAA